TAAAGGCCAAATGTAAGCTAAAAGTCCCTCATTATTAGTCAAGTTTAATGATCATGATTTAATCAGTATTTTTTTCTGGCTCTAGCCTCTGTTATTTGATGGGATTTGTGTAAGACAGTAAAGAAAATGCTGCATGGAAATTCAGACCTGACAGCATGACCTTGAGCACTAACTAACCTGGATTTGCATACCTGGCTGATTTTGCTCCTAGAGTTATCTTGGAGAAATCACCTTCACTCTGACAATTCTGCTTATCTGCCTCACCAAGAGGTACAGAAGACTAATTAGCCACAAGCTTTAACATTTCAGAATCCCCAAGAGGAAACATAACGCAGGGATCTTTCTGGTTAAATACTGCTGCCTCTCAGTTTTCCAATAACCAAATGATCTTCACCATTTTATCACTAATGAGCTGAAGAATGAGAACAAGATGAGCTTCAAATGTGAAGTAGCTCACATTACCGTCACCAGCAATTAAGGTTGAGTAAAATGTGAATTACAGCAACAGTCCTTAGGATTTACCTGAGCCATGAAAGAACCTAGCAAATAAGACCCTTATTATTAATATTTTATTCATACATATTACCTGATTTTGTAATCAAGGTTTAGATGGACAAAGTGACCTGGCAGGATAAACAATTTAAGATGTGGAGAAAAAAATCTGTCGTCTCTGGACAAAGGCACTCCTATTGGTGACCTGACATGAAGCAGATTTAACTTGAGGTGGATGAGGCATCCTGAGGAAGGAATGGCTGCTGCCCTCGTGTTGCCTGTAGTTGAGCTTTGTCAGGGTGAATAGAAAAGCAACACTTTGAACTGAGCTCTGAACCTTCTGAAGGTTCCTCTGTATCTCCAATCCCCACCTGGGACCTAGAACATACATGGGTGATCCTATTTATCTGCCACGGACAATACCTCTTAGTTTGGGTGGGAAATCCATGATTTAGGTCTCACGGTTCACCGAGGGGAGAAAACATAAGCTATCTCCGTGCTGATGGCAAGGACCTCCTGGGTGGCCCTTTTCCAGTTGCATCTTGTGTCCACAGTGGAAAGCACATGATGATCTAAATGAACACAAGGCCCTGTCTCTTCATATAGGGCATCTGCCGAGATTCGCAGCTTGGTTGTTACCCTGTCAAGCCACGGATGTAATTTCCGCCGGGAGGAAAAGAACAGAAACAGATTCTCGTAGCTTGGGTAAAGGGAAGGCAATCATTGACTCATTTGTTACTTTTGAAAATGGCATTTTCAGTAAGTGGAACAGTTGCTGAGGTGTGTTGACTTCACACTCTCATGTAGCTTCTTGCTTCTTGAAAATGTTAAGTTAAATGTGAGCCATCCACTAATGGGAATCAAGATAAATGTGGAGAAAGATGATATTCCAGTGTCAATGGCCTTCACTTGACAAGTTTGTATCCAACTGAGCAAGATGATGAGCTAGCCACAAAGAGTTCATGCCTAGAAATTCAGACATTTTTCTCTCATGATTTCCCTTTGGCTTTTTTCACTATACGTTCATTCGTGTCCTATACTGGGTATTGTCCTCCTGAGTAATGAAACAGGTATTCCTCACGCTGAGTCAATTCAAATGTAGGTTTGGAAAGAAACTCTCAGAAAGTTTCTTAAGAATGAATGACTTTGGAGTTAGGATTTGAATCGTGTTCTCACCACTTGGGCTCACCGTCTTTGGGATGTCTCTTTAAAGTTCCCAGAAATTTGTTCTTTCTTCTATGAAATGAAAATGAAGGATGCCATCTGTTTGTCATCATTAGATGTGATAATGTATGTAAAGGCCCTTAGTTACATGTAAAGCATTGTGTGTATGTGAAGGATTATCATTGTGCCTTGGTTTTGCCAAGGGCGTTTATGTATAAAAGACTGCCTTACACACATACAACTTACATGTGATTGTGTACATGGAAAACTTTCACTAGCACAGTAGGTGGCTTGGATATTTTATATTACCTCTGCACTGAACAGTCTTGTTCATTCAGTGTCTGTATGCTGGGTGCCTGGCATTTTTCTAGGTGATGAGCATAAACTGGTAAACACATAGATATCTACGCCCTTAGGTGATGTTTATGTTCCTGTGGGGGTGGGGGTGGGGGAAGAAACAGAACAAATATAAACAAATAAAATAATTTCAGACAGTGTACGTGCTCAGGAGAAAACAGAACAAGCCAAGCACTAGGGAGTGGCGTGTGAACTGCGTCCAGGATAATGGGAAGACCTGGGAAAAATCATTCTAGGCAGCAAGCACAAAGGCTAAGAAGTGGGGAAAGAGCTCAAGATCTCTGAAAGCAGGAAAAGGTACTATGTATTTGGAGCCTGAGGAGGAGAACAGAAGGAAACATAATTATAGAGAGAAGGAGCAACCAGTTTGTAAGGGGACCGGGTGACCATGGGAAGGAGTTAGGATGTTATTCTAATTGCTATAAGAGGTCATTAGCAGGGCATGCCTTGTATGTTCCCAAACAGGGAAAACTAAACAGTACCTATTCAAAAATCAAAGATGATTTTTTTTTATTTTTTTATTCTTATGTTAATCCCCATACATTACATCATTAGTTTTAGATGAAGTGTTCCATGATTCACTGTTTGTGCATAACACCTAGTGCTCCATGCAGAATGTGTCAAAGATGATTTTAAAAGCTATTAATTCTCCACTTCACCCACCTGCAAGATCTAAGAAAGAAGCTTGGACCTCTAGAGGGCGCCAAAGGAAAACATTTGGTAACCAAAGCCACAAGGGTCTTTTCAGCACCTGAAGTGAGAGGAGAGCGCTCTGGCTGTTCCCAGGAGTCTGGTAAAAGCTGATTCCACTGGGAAACTGCAGTTCATCTACAACTCCTACCCAAACAGAAAGTCAAGTGAGCTTGGTTTGCAGGTACCTGGACCTTGGTTTTCCATCGAAGGACTGTTTATCATGGGATGGAAGTGGGAAGACATTTTAGGGTTATTTTTAATCTTCTCCCATCTGGTAGTATTTGAGTAGAGCATAAAACAAATATGAAGCCAAAATTTACTTTCTGGATTCATTTGGCAAGCAAAGCGTCTCTATACTTAGAACTTTGAAAATATTCATCATTTGCCACTTGGGATGTTGTTATTCTAAATACTATTCAAACTTACTTGATGAAGTCTCTCAACAATGTGTACTAAGGAAGGCTACTGCATGGAAAGCAGTGGGTTATGATCAGTGGGATTTTCTGCAAATGAGCAGATACCTGTGATATATCGTGAAAACGACTCATAGTGAAAAAAGATAAGGAAAAAGGAGGAGAAGAAGGAAAAAGAGGAGGAAGAGAAGGGGAAAAGGAGCAAGATGGGGAAGGAGAGTCTGATGATGTGGAGATACATAATAAAGAAAGTGCAAAAAAGGAGGAGGGCTTGGAAGAAACTGAGACTTTCAGAGGCTAGTGGGGTTCAGATCCACGTGTGAAGACTGAGAAACACAGTTCTGAAGACATATTTTACACAATCCCAAATTGAGACTTTATCAGATGTGGATATTAAAGGTTCACAGTGATTTCGAGAAAACATTCATTACTGTCTTATAAGGACAAGTTCAGCTGGTCAGCCCTTACTCAAAGAGGCTCTCATCTCTCCATTTCATGTCTGATGATCACAGCCATGTACTTTATAATACTCTGCTCTACCCAGGGAGACTTCAAAAAGCACTGTAAAAGCAGCCAACCAGATAAGTAACCTGAGCAAATGGATACAGAGCCATCAGAAAAGAGAGAATCCCAAATCCACTAGAAACCCAGAGGGTCAATGATGGGTAAAGCCTTCTATAGGTGTCTGTGTTCCAGAAACCACAAGCCATTTTTGGAGGTGTTGTACCTGGTTATTCAACGATATATTCAAACCCGAACACAAGGAAGAGGAGTTTTTAAGCTTCCTATAGAGCCAAAGGCACAGAGGCTGGGCCTAGAGCAGAAACATAAAAACCAGGCCCCTGTCCAAGCACCTCTTGTCAGCCTCCTATGTGGAAACACTTCAGCTGACATGTTTCCCTCATTTTTATGGAGAAGCCCCCAAATTCAGTCTCCTGCTACTTATCAAGCATTTGGCAAACAAAGTTCCAGACCATTAATTATCTATTGATTTTAATGAATTTCAACAATAAAATCACCATCTACCTTCTCCTTCACAGACCATGGGAACACTGTTCCCAGAAACACATCCACATTTAGCAGGAAAGACAGGAAGAAAGGAAGAAAAGCGACGGAGGGTCAGGTTCCACCTACATATTTCAGACCATCTACATCAAAATATCCTTTATCAATCAAGCAAAACTTGCATTCTTTGCCAAAGACTCTTCCCTCTCTACCCTACCGGTCCCAGATGAGGCTGATCTATGCAAGCACTGGGTTCGGATCCTACAAGAGAAGATATCCTCTTAGAACCCCGAAGCAGTAAAGAATTCCCAAGTAAAATACGTATCATGGGACTGAGGGACTGGACGATATAACATATGTAGGGTCCCCACCAACAATTGCTATGTGTTCAAAAAATGCTATTAACTTCTAGAACTGAGGGTTTGTGGCACAGAGATACACAGAAACCCAACTCTGAATCCCAGAGTCCCTTACAACACCAAAAGCTGTTAAGGAGTGGGTCATCTTCTAAATCGGGGTGCTTCTCCTCCCCTTCTGTTTCCTGCTCCAGAGACTACAGGGCCTGGGGGACACGTGCAGAGCAGAAAGAAGGCTGTTTCTTAGCTGATGTCAGAGAAGAATTACTCACAGAAGCCGAAGAGAAGGGCAGGGCTGGAAGAAACTTTAGAGATCATTTAGTTCCAACTCCTCTAAGATGAGCGAAATACCATCCCACCAACACCCAGGACCTCCCAAGTGCGAGGCACTGTGCCAGGCTGGGGGAGGGGCCTCCAAATGAGCAAGGAAAGTCGGCCTCTCTGAAAGCTATTTCTAAATAACCCAGGGGAGTGTGGGGGTGGGGGGTGGGGGGTGAAGAGCAAGGCAGGCAGGAGTTACCTGGTTGATGGAAATGACCGCTAGCCGAGGGATGACCACCTGCAGGACCACCTGCAGCAGCGAGGTGCCCAGGCCGGCCAGGATGGCCCAGGTGAGCGGCAGCGGCAGCATGCTGTAGGTGGCAAACAGCGTGAAGAGAACGTAGCCGATGCCATCACCCAGAAGCCCGTAGCCGAGGCCTGCTGCCAAGATCTGGGTGGTCATGGCCACCCAAGTGACCACGCCGCTGTACTGCAGGTACGTGTGCGAGGTGGTGTCCTTCCTGACCACCACCAGGGCGCAGATCACCACCTCGATGCCAGTGAAGAAGCCCAGGAGGATGCCCTTGAGCGGGTCCATGGGGGCCGAGGCCAGGCTCAAGTGGAGGACCAAGAGGGTGAGTTTGGTCAGCACGTCCAGCACGTTCATCACCACCTCGGATTTGCGCCTCTGGCCCAGGAAATAGCGCTGGTAGAGGCGCTCCAGATCCCGGGACTTGAAGGAGTTGCGCAGAGTGGGGAAAATGACCCCTCGGTAGCTATAGCCCCCATTGAGGAAGAAATCCGAGTTGCTTGGGGCGCAGTCGAGGTGCAGGAAGCCCAGATCGCCCCCGCCCCCGCCGCCGCCGCCGCTCCCGCTGCGTTCCGGGAAGACTTTGGTGCCACCGGTGCTGCGCGCTCTCTCCCCGGGGCCCAGCGAGTAGAGGGGCGGCGCCGAGGCGCCGGACAGCTGCGCCGCGTGATGGTTGGGGCCGCCGCCTGCAGGGTCCGAGGCTTTGCCGGAGCCTCTGCTGCCGCCGCCGCTGCCCCGGTGCCCATGAATGAAGCGCTGCTCGGTGATGTGCCTCACCGCCGTCTGCCACAACAGCCGCTGCGGCCGCGAGCCGCTCCCGCCGTCGCCGGCCGGGGGCGTCGGGTGGATAGTGTAGAGTTCCTCGCTGCCGCTCAGGCAGCGCACATCGGAGAGCTCCATGGCGCCGGGCCGCAGGCGGGGAGGCGCAGAGCCAGGAGGAGGCAGCTGGGGAAGGGGTCCCAAAGACCCCACGGCGGCCTGGCGGGAGCTGGGCGGCGAGCCCCGGTATCCCCGGCCGCCGGGTCGCGCGAGCCCTGCACGGGAGGCCCCGCGCGTCAGGTCATAGTGCTCCTCGGGGCAAAGGGCGTCGGGAAGATCGCCGCAGACCCCTGCGTCCTTGCGCGCCGCCCTCCCGCCAAACCGCGCAGCTGGGGTGCGCGGCGGCGGTGGCTCGGTGTCCGCAGAAGCCGCGGCGCTCTGAGCCACGCAGCCCCCTTCTCGGGCTCAGGCTTCTCGGCCGCTCCTCGGCTCAGCGTCTTGGCGCAGCCTTTGCTCTCCAAGAGGCGCCTGGGCGCCGTGCTTCTTTCTGCTGCGCGCCGGGCGGGTCCTGGCTGCGGCACTGGGCTCGGGACACCCACGACTCGGCGCCTGCAGGAGGACTGGCCGAGGGTGACCGGCGGCGGCGGCGGGTGCGAAGTTAGCCGCTGTAGCTGGAGCAGAGCCCTTCGGAGAACTCCATTGCGCCGGGATGGGGAGCCGGGGCGGAGCTGGGGGCGGGGACAAAGAAGGGGGAGGTGTGGGGGACGGGGAGGTGGTGGGGTGCCCCGCGGAAGGGTTGGAGAGGTGGTAGCCTCGGGGCTAACAAGTCACCAAACAGTTAATTTGGAGCAGGGGGCTGCTGAGGCTCCCTCCTCGGCTCATCTCTGGCTGTCTCCTTTTCCTGCGCGAGGACTGACCGCGCGGCGCTGGCTCTGGCCCGTCGCATCCCTCGGGGAAGGGGGAGGGCGGCAGGGTCCCAGTCGCGGCTAGACGAGGTCAGCCCTTCCAGCTGCGCTTCCGAGGGGTCGGAGCCCACAGTTCCCATTCCCTTCACTTCGCTCTTCGGAGTCCATTTGGCCCGGAGCTGGGAGGCGGGAGCCGGAAAAAGTGGGGAGGGCTCCGAAGCCAACAGCTCTGAGATCGCCGAGAAGCTACTGGTGCGGATCCCTAAGCCTAAGAACAGAAGATCGGCGGGTGCGGCGGGTGTAAGGTCTGGACGAGAAGGGAGGCCCGAAGCCGCGGGGAAGTCGACTGAGACGCCACCGGATCCAGGGACGCGCCGCGTGCCACCCTGGCGCTCTGAAGCGCGCTGCGGGCACCCGGCGGCGGGGAGGAATTTGGGGACCTGTCAGATCGGTCAGACACCCGCGGCGACTTAAGCCCGCCCCCACGCCAAGCCACGCCCCCGGAACCGGGTGGGGGTGGTGGCGGGGAGCTGGCACCCTGATCTGGCCAGGACGCCCCAGGTCTTGGAGGCAGCAACACGCGCAGGCCGGCGTGGGTGAGGACGACCGCGGGCTCCCCTGTCCCCCCCCGCGCGAGTATCCAGCGCTCCAGCTGGCCGCGCGGGCCGGTTCCTCCGCTCTTCTTTTTTAGGCACTGGCTCGGGTCCTCGGCAGGTGCAGAGCCAGGACTCGTAGGCCGCTCTGCCCACGGACTCCGAGAGCACAGCGCGATGAAAGAGAGGGTCTCCTTTCCGTCCTCCCCGCCCGGGCATATTTTGGCGAAACCAACTATCGGGCTAAAAGCAAGAAGCCGCAGTTGCAGAGACGGCTTCCAGCAAGAGCCTTTACTACACCAATCCGGAGAAGTGGAGGGCTCGTCCCCGAGTGCAGTGCACACCAAGTTTCTCCCTGCTTACAACAGGAGGAGAGGGGGAGGACGCGGGGAAAACATTTCCAGCTGCCCGCTCAAGCCCCGGTTTCCCGCCCTCCCGGCTCCGCGCCCACGCCCGGCCGAGCGGGAGCGCCGGGTCCCGGGGCCGCAGGGCCAGTGTGGTCGCCGCAGTCCCGAGCCCGGCTGCAGGTGGCGGAGCCGCGGTGGCCGCCACCTCCGCCACGGCGACTGCGGCTGCAGCCGTGGAGCCCGAGCCCTGAGCACAGTCAGCTGATGGCCAATGACGTCAAGCCCTGGGCGCTTTCTCGGCTCCCCGTGGCGTCCCGCGAAAGCCCAGAAGACCGCCTCGCTGCCCCCTCAGCCCTCAAGAATGAGCGATTGATTTCCCTTGTTCTCCCGAGGAGAAACTCCCCTCTCTCTGCCTGCCCTGAGTGGGGAATAGCTTTGGATGGCCCTCTTCCCCAACCACATACTCCATGTCCAGGGTTATTTGTGTCCACTGTGTCCCAGAAACACGGGATTTAATCATTTCCTTTTTATTCTTTCTTATCCACACACATGGGTTTCGGTTTAAATCCAGAACTGGTCCACTGCCTTGTAAGGAGAATCCCAAGGGAGAAAATGACTAACATTTTCCCCTATCCCCTAACAGTAGATTTCTGGGATGTAATATACACCCTGAAAAACTCCTTTGATCCCAGATCTTTAGAGTTGTAGTCCACCATCTCTCAAGAGAACAAAACTAAATGCTCAATTTTAAATAGAAAGTCGGTTCTATTTTTAAGACGGTTTGTGGATGAATTAATTTAACTATAAAGATCTCCTGGGGTAGCTGTCCCACTCCCAAGGGCCTGGGGGTTAAGGGCAAAGAGCACCCCAAAACTCAGTTTTGCAGTGATCTAGACATTAATGAAATCATCCCAGAAAAGAAACACTTCTTGCTTCTCCCTTTCTAAATTGCTTGGACTCATCAGCTTCACCAGCTCTCTTGAAACTCTGGCTGGTAATAAGTGTCTTGACTTGAGGAGGGAGCCCAAAGAGGGCAGAAGGCTGGTGGGGGAGGGAGGCGGGTTCCTGCAGACCCTGTGCCAGGATGTATGCCCAACTGTGTCCTCTCTCTGCAGGCATAGCCCCAAGTCATCTGTGCTAATGACCATATTAGTAAACTTGGCAGTGGAAGATGCCTCTTTATTTTCTCAATCTTTCTCCTTGGGAGCCTAAGAACTCAGCCTGAATAAATGAGGGGTTGAATGCAGATGGAACTTTCCTATGAAAATTTTCCTCCTGGACATATCCCAGGATGATTTATTCAGCAGCAAAGCAGGCATGCCAAGGAGGGGGAGACTGGACCCAATCAGATAAAATGACTCAGGCTGATGAATGAGCATACATGCTACAGAAAAAAACCCAAAGAATTTAATGAACTCAGATTGAAACTAACATATCAGGGAAAAAGTTGTATCTGGTCAACTGACTCCTCTGAAAGTTCCTTTGCTGTTAGGGGGTGTTAGAACAGGTTATTTTAAAATAAGAGCACAGATGACAATTAGATTCAATTATTATTCTTCTTGTTGGGGTGACACAGTGCCATTCAGCCCCCAAAACATTCTGTTTTCAAATGACAGACTTGGCTTTACACAAATATTGAGAGGCTTTTAGAAACAGGCAAACCACCAAATGATTATCACTTAAAACAAGTTAACATGCTGCTTTGATCCTACAATGTACCTCTCAGCATGCTTTCACTTGTCCCCTGCCTGTTTATTATGAGTGGTCTCTGCTATGTTCAGGGACAGTACTTTGCAAACTCGCTATCTTTTTGTACATGGATGCCTTCTCTTAGCATGGCCCTGTATCTTCGTCCCTCCCCCCACCATTTCCTTCCCTCAAAATACTACTCACCTCATCCTTCAAAGCCTGAGCGATGTCTCTGTGCAAATCCTTTCCTGATATTCCCAGTGAAAATTAAAAACTTCCTTCTGTGAAAGAAGCTTCCAAAATGAAGAAGCATTGCTAAAAGAGTCACTCAAAATAGAGTCAGAAGGATCTCAAGGAACTAGGACCTAAGCACATCCCTGCTGTAATTCTTAGAACTTTTGACTTCTGTCAATTACAGATCTACCACCTCCTGGAACACACCCTCCTACTTTGGACTGAAACAGAGATAACGTAACATCTGTTAGCCAAGTATCCAGCCATGTACGGAAGGTCACTTCAAACTCTGCCAGCACCAATCATAATTCTTTCAAAACAACTTATGTAGCCTTGTAGGTTTTGCCTTTACAAACCTGCACACCACTTTCACATTTCAGGGCAGATGTTTGAATTCTGTAGATTCTGTGTCTTCTGTATCTCTTGGACTGCAATTCTTAAGACCCCAAATAAACACGTTTGGTTGCTTTACAGCCTTGTTGTCTTCTTGGTGGACACTTCTTTGTTGCCTGCCAGTCTATTCTGGTTCTGCTAGTGTGGCACTTAACTATGGGGATCAGCTCTGTCCCATTTGCTCACCCATTTGTCTCTCACCTCTCCCCATGAAGCAGTGAACTCATCGAAAGGGAGAACTGATTTTCCTTGGGCCCATAACTTCCAGTTTCTAGCAACTATAGTATTAACCTTAAACATAAAGCTGTCAGTTATTTTACCAGAAGAAAATGGATTTATTCGGGAATAGCAATTTGGGACATGCAAACTATGGAAAAACCATAGGCCAATCCAACAAACAAAGGAGAGGAACATTATTTTATGGAGGAGAAGGAGGAAGGTGGGAAGGGTCGTTTTGAAAGCAAGTCCATTGGAGAAAGGCAAGAGTTCAGGGTGATTCCAGTTTCTTATAGGTAAGTTGCAAGGGTAGTGGATTTCTTGAAGATTCAGTGTAGGTCTTTCCCTGTTGGGGGCCTGGAACTGATCATTCTTTCTTGTTGATGAGTCTTCTGTTGGAGCCTATGTTACAATTCTTCCTGTAATTGTAATTCTTGTATAGCTCCCCCTTCCAGCCTCCCTACTCACTTTAATGAGGTTTCCCCAAGTGTACATGAAGATAAAAAGATTAGCAACAATTTATTGAGGACTTAAGATCTTTACCATCATCTCATTTAAGCATCTCAACAAGTCTCTGAGTTAAAGAGAATAAAATGTTATTTCCATTTTACTAAGATACTGAGCCTCCATGTGGCTAAATAACTTGCTTGGGACCTCATGGTTAATAGACAACAAAACTCCAGCAATTAAATTTAGATTGTATAATTTTAGCTTTCACATGCTTAATAAAAATGCTGTCACAAGAAATCAACAAGTTTTGACCTAATTTAAATAGGACTGATAGAAATGAAAACGTCAAATATATTTGGACTTTCCAAATACAGATTAAGTAAGAGACTTCTGAGATATTTAGGCTTTGAGAAGTCTGGTAGCATGACCCCGAGTGGCAGATACAGGTAGCAGAACTAATTCTTGTTTGGGTAGAGGGCCTGTTAGTTTTTTGTGTAGGTCAAGCCACAGACACTATTTCTGCAGTTTGTGAAAAAGCAGATTTTCACATACTGGATTTAACCAAAATAATTGCTTTGGTCTACTTTACTTCCTTTTGGGTGGTCCTGGGGGAAACATCCCTCTTGCCCCATTAGAAAATAACATTGTTTGCTTTGTGATGCTAATGCATACCACTGGCCACATTTACAGTACATATGTTTAAGAAAAGGAAATTTGTTTCCCTCCAATGCATCTTTGACCTCACAGGTTAAGTATATTAACATATAAATTTAAATTTTATAAGCACTGGGCCCTTTGCAAAATACCCATAGAAACCCTGACACTCACTGAAGACATAAAATATTCACACGTAAAAGAAAAGATGGACTCAGTTCAGGAAGGGGACCTGAAACCAGAGAGATCCTGTTTCCAAGGGGAAGGAGGGTGTTTGTGACAGGGCAGCTTCCATAGCTGGAAATCCTTAAAGGAAAAGTACATGAAATTTGCTAAGAGGTACATCTTAAATGTCCACCACACACCACACACAAAGAAAAAACAAAGCAAATGGTAACGACATGAGGTGATGGATGTATTAACTACTGATTGTGGTGATTAACTCACATTTTATATCAAGTTTTACAAGTTTTAAATATGCACATTTTTTGTTTTCAATTATACCCCAATAAAGCTGGAGGTCAGGGGGAGGGCATGCCTGTCTTGCCTGGAAGCACTACTCTTAGGAAATATCAAAGGCATTATTAACTGCTTTGATGGAACTCAAGGAAAAGTCAATGGTTAAAGAAAGTAGGGCTTACTTTTTATCATGGCAATTATTTCAAAGTGTATATAAATGTCAAATCGTTATGGTGTACCTTAGAACTAATATAATATTGTATGTCAACTATACTTCAATTAAAAAAATAAAGTAAGTAGGGCTCATCCATGAAAACGGTGTATTAATTACAAACCTTGGACTCACATTTCA